TTTTTTCCTACATATTTGGATGGTTTTAGTACATATTTTATAAATTATACTTACATACATATGTACATATTTATGTATTTTTATTACATATAAATCCGTTCCCTAGTAATCAATAATTTGCTGAATCGTCACGCGATATTCGACGACTGTAAAGTATTTTGTACAAACCTTTGCACGCAAATCAAAATATAATCATAATGCAAATTATCTTATACCGTACACGAAAATCTAGGGCCCGCATTTCGGAATGCACTAACACCCGCATCTCAGCCGAATCCGCCACTAGGTCGGGGCACACGTTTTATTTCGTCGACAACCCGCGTCGGATCGACCGTGACATTTTACGGCACGCGTTTTTCGTCCGGCTTCTGGTGGATGGACGTTTTGCTTTTATTCTCAAATTCATTTAACAGCGCTCAAATAAATCGCATAAACGCATCGCACCGCACCAGACGAGAACGCGTGTAACTACGACGTGCGATCAATCGGTTTTCGTCGGCCGTACGAGGCGCGCGCGAACGAATAGGTAGGAAAACGCATAAGTGGCAAGTTATGGTTTGCTGTTTATTCGCGGTTGATCGTTAAAAAAAAAAATGAATAAAAATAAAAATATTGAAACAAAACTTACGATTAATTAAAAACCTGATTCAGTTTAGTTGCATAACACGTTAGAACGATGTGGGATTTTTATTTTTTACTTTTTTTTTTTAATCTGTTCGTAACAACATCACAAAAAATCGAAATCAATTATAAAATGAATGCGTAGAAAATCAAAATGTTTTTTCACCGCGTTCAAAACGCAAACGTCTATTCTGTAATCCCACGGTATCCGATAATATTTATGTAGTCGAAACGGACTCCGCGTAGAATATTACGCGGAATAGAAACGGGTATTGGTAACGCGCGCATGTAACGCACTTTGTTCCCGTGTTGTGAATACGACACATACTTCGTGTTCGTTTCGGATGAATACGATTTCACTGAAACATATATAATATGTAATAATACATAAAATCGTTGTATTTTACATTCTTTATTAAATCGATAAAACAAAATAAAAATAAAAAAACATAAATACGATATTGGAAAATCTACATATGCACCATGTGGAACGAAGAAGTACCAAGGAATATATAATATTCCGCTGCAGGCAGATCTCACTTTATTCGGAAACATAAAAGAATATTCAATTTTTCGTCGGGGCCGTAAAAACATTTTCGATTGACCTCTTCGGAATTGACTTCGGACGTCGGATCGTATCCGATCTCGCGCGTACCCCACGAATGAAACTATTAATTAATTATCTGACGAACGTGCGCGCACATGAATAGCTGTTCCGATGAAAACTCGTAGAACCGACGTAAAGAACTTTTCCCTAAAAGCTTGTTAATTGCAACGCGGTCGGTAACCGCGCGGTCAATTTCAAGAAACGGCCTGAAATTATTTTATGGTACACTAAAAAATGAACTGAATTACAAAACTCAACAACGTTTTACAGTTCACCGGTTTTATAGTGAACATTTATATTCCCCTCGCCCCCCACCTCACCCGCCTAACGTGTGTCCGTCACTAAGAGTTTATTCTTTCATACTTTTTTCTGTTTGCTGAAGAAATCTTTTTTTTAAATCCACCGCCGTCTCAGATTTTATATCCCCCATTCGACGCAACGTTTGCTCACTGGTTTCCCAGACAATCGGCTTAAGTATTTTTCTATTATTTTGCAGCGATCCGCACGAAACCGTCTCGCATTGATTGATTAATGAAAAAAAACACTTCAAACGTTTTGTGTTTTACTGACCGTTTGCTATTAACTATTATTATTAATATCATTACTATGATACGATTTAAAACTGTTATTGTTGAATTGTAATCGAATAAAAACACCAATTATTACACGTTTTATCACCGTTGTATAGCCGTTAATTTGTTTGGACTTTAATCGAATAGGTTACGCGTGCTATCGTGGGCGACGGGTTATAAGATGCGAACTGAACGCAGTTAATGTATATATATATGTATATACGGGTAATTATATAAAATAAAAAGACTCAATAATAATACAATTACGTTTCGACATTTCACCTGCACGTCGATGTGTGGTACAATCGACGCGCACATGGTTGGAAAACACGTTTCGAAACAATCTGTGGCGTTTAGACAAAATTGTTGTGAAACCGGTCGTGACGTGTCTTCAGTAACTTTCCGCGTGACCATTGGAAGAAGGTGGTGAATTTATAACGCGAATAGTTATGCAGTATGTCCCACGATGATAAGAACATTCTTCGGTTAAGTTTTAAATCAATGTTCATGTACCTTCCCATTACGCCTTGTACATTTAGATTTTAATACGTAAACAATGATTACAAATAAGCTGTTTTTTATTTTCTTCTTTCGGTATTGAATAAATTCACAAAAATGTACGTCCACGCGTAAGCGTATTTACGTTATGCCTTCCAATAAATACGTACATGCGTACATCGTTCGCACCTTACCATGACTAACTCAGCGGTGCTTGTAGCTTTTTGGCTAGGAGCAGTCCCAGGGACGTGGCCAGGGTGGAGAGCAGGACGTTCATATGCACCAGAGAACGGAGGGTCGCAGTGAACGTGCCTCGCGGATCGGTCAAAGGACAACTGGGCAACTGGATGAGCCCGGAAGACGCGGATCGGGCGATCGCCGAGCGGTTCCCAGGCTGCATGCGTGGCAGGACGATGTACGTGATCCCTTTCAGCATGGGCCCTCTGAACTCCCCGTACTCGAAGATCGGCGTGCAACTCACCGATTCACCGTACGTCGTGTGCTCGATGCGAGTCATGACCCGCATGGGGACCCAAGTGCTCGAGAAACTCGACTCGCCCGAGGCCGACTGTTACTTCGTCAAGGCGCTGCACTCGGTCGGCACTCCAGCCGACGGACGCATCGAGCACCCGCATTGGCCTTGCGATCCCGACCGCACCATCATCCTGCACAAGTCAGTACAACGATAATGTTTGCGATTATTTTCAATATTCCTATTCGACCCAAGTCCCGGCAAAAAACATAAGGCTGAATTAGTAACGGTTATTGGATCTCGTGATTTCAGGATCTCGTCGATAAAAACCCGAATCTATGATCGTGGCAAACTAACGTGTACCCACCGCCGCTTTGTCGTTGTAATTTTTTAGTCCCCGCGAGCGTTCGCGTTATCTCGCCTGTTGCGCGTAGAAAATGCGATTTCGTTCCATCGACTGAACACGACTGAAGCATGCGCGTTTATTAATTTTTTCCCAATATACGTGCTTGTAATTACGTTTTTCGTTTACCATCAATCCAGCTGCAGATCTAAATCTTAAGTGTAAATATTTTTTTCAAACTTTTACCGTTAATTTACCGAATCCCATCGACCGTGTTTAACTTTTGATTTATTAAGTCGAATCGTAATACGCGCTAACGTTCGTAATTTATCGATATGGTAAAAAATACGTTTTACAGATTTCCAACATGTAGAGCGATTATTGTAATCGTTATCCGACGGGGAAAAAAAATATATCGTTCAATTAGCGAACGCTCGATATTCGAATCGATCACATATGGGACGATATCGCTGACGAAGTGTAAACGATAATAATGTGTCGCGTACGACCACTGGGCGCGGGCTCGAGACGCGGTTACGCGCTAGCCGGGGCCGGAACGCATGTATAAATATAGCGCTGGGGCGGAAAAACCGTCGGACATCGCATGCGAGTGATCAGCAAGGGCATATTTAAGGGGGGCAAAGGGCGATCGCTCCCCCTGAATCTATATTTAAGGAATCGATTATATGTGAGATACGCATTTCAAATTTTTTTAATGAGGATCATTTTATTACGAAATCAATTTACGCGTGGCTGTAATTACTAAATTGGGCTTTTTGTCGGATCCATACTTAAGGTAAAAGGGAAAAATCAAATAAAACACAGCCGTAACTTTCAAAACATAAACAAGTGTTTAAAAATAACTATACAAAAGTCGATTCTAAGTGGATCCGAAATTAGATTAAAAAAAAAAAAACTTACAAATATTAAGGATTCACCAGATATAAATATTAGCAAACATTTTAACTGTAAATTTTAAGCCTGAATCAAAGAAAACGTTTAAGTAGCCCCCCCCCCTAGAAGTAAGTCTAAATACGGCAATGGTAATAATGTCAAGTGTTGTGATTTTCCGCAGACTCGAGACGGACGAGATCGTCAGTTACGGCAGCGGATATGGCGGCAACTCGTTGCTGGGCAAGAAATGTTTCGCCCTGCGGATCGGCTCGTCGATCGCGCGACGCGAAGGTTGGCTGGCCGAACACATGCTGGTGAGTATTGCGAGTTTGACGGCAGTGTTGATCTGTCGTCGTCACCCCGGACCAGGGTGGGTTGCCCGACCATCGGATTCATTCTGTAGGTCCTGCACGCTCGTGTTGTGCAATCGTGTTGTGTAATGAACGTACCGCGTGGAACAGGACATTTTTTCCCCGTGAACAACGAGAACGACGCATACCATGTCGTTGACGGCGTGAAGTTATTCTTACCGCTTTCGATTCCAATAATTCGCGAGTTTACTCAGCATAGCTTATAAAACTGTGTAAAGTAAAAAAAAATAAAAAATAAATGGTGTGTCGCCCTACATCTAAAGTCGGAAAATCATACGTATCACACTTTGATACTAATAGCTTCCATAGAAAAAAAAAAACAAGCACAATGAAATTCACCATAATTTTGTGTTATAAAGAAAACGACGCCTGCGCATGAAAAAAAGTTTGGAATCACATTTCATGAAAATCATGATTTGCATATTTTTTTAATTTTTTAAAAAAAAATTTAAATCGTAAAAATCGTTGCGAGCTTAGGCTTAATTCGAGTAAGACCATGACGGGCCAATATTTAATTTCGGAAGGCGCCTAAGCCTAATAATTAATTTAATAATAATGAACCTAATAATTACTCCATCACTTAATCACAATAATTCCGGAGACTTGTACGAATAAGTTTTGAGACAGCAAAATTAATATTGTCATATCGATCCACGGCCTAAACTATGACCAACGAACTCGGACGGTTATCCAAAATAATTTCGATTTAGCCACCGTAGCCGGTAAATGACTGTTCTATATGTTGTAAACAGATCTTGGGTGTGACGGATCCAAAGGGACGGAAAAGGTACGTGGTAGCGGCGTTCCCGAGCTCTTGTGGCAAGACCAATATGGCCATGATGCAGCCCTCCTTGCCGGGCTACAAGGTGGAATGCGTGGGCGATGACATCGTGTGGATGCGTTTCGACAGAGACGGGCAGCTGCGTGCCATCAACCCGGAGTTCGGGTTCTTCGGCGTGGCACCCGGTACGTCCAGGGCCACGAACCCGGTGGCCATGGACACCGTGTTCGAGAACACGATATTCACCAACGTGGCACAGACCAGTGACGGCGGTGTCTATTGGGAAGGCATGGAAGCCCCAGAACCGGGGGTGACCATCACCGATTGGCAGGGCGAACCGTGGACCCCGGGCACCTCGCGACCGGCCGCGCATCCCAACTCCAGGTAAGTCGGCAGTCGTTGATTGCGATCAGTAAGGGTGTAGGACATGCATTGGACAATGAAAGCGGGAAACTGTCGTGTAAAATATCCCAACACGAAAACGATGTACATAGCATTTTTAACCTAATTTTTCGAATCTGAAATAATTAGAACGATAAAGTCGCGACGAGTTTCAAAATTTGAAATGAACAAACGCTGTCGAATCGATATGAACTCAAATCACGACCGTCGTGTTTCATGTCCGATGCTTCCGATATTTTTCCGGTCTTCTTGATAATCTAACTGTCTCCGGACGACCTTGGTTTTCACAGGTTCTGTACACCGGCCGAACAGTGTCCGATTATCGACCCCCACTGGCAGTCCCCGGAAGGCGTGCCCATCGACGCCATTTTGTTCGGTGGAAGACGTCCGAAGGGTGTGCCCCTAGTGTACGAGGCGTTCGACTGGAAACACGGAGTGTTCGTCGGTGCTTCCATGAAGTCGGAGACCACCGCCGCGGCCGAGCACAAGGGGAAGTCCATCATGCACGACCCGTTCGCCATGCGGCCGTTCTTCGGCTACAACTTTGGACATTACCTGCAGCACTGGCTGTCCATGGAGACGGCGGTGCCCGGTCGCAAACTGCCTAAAGTGTACCACGTCAACTGGTTCCGAAAAGACGATCAGGTGAGCGCACACCGGTTCTCTAACATAGTGCTAACCATAAATCGAATTTTACCACGAGGCCATACATGTGTTATCACTGTAGTTTGGGGGGGGGAGGGTTAATTCCTTAGCGGTGGTCGATAAGATTGCGATTCGCTGTTCAAATCTAACCGGAAACGACGCAATGCAGTCGAACTCACGTCCCATTTAATGTTCATTTATAGTCGTCTATAATCTAGTAATAATAATACCTTGTTCATTTTTTCGGAACTCAGGGTAAATTTATGTGGCCCGGATACGGGGAGAACTCTCGAGTCTTGGACTGGATACTTCGCAGGGTAGACGATGAACCTGGAACCGCACGACCCACACCCATCGGTTACGTTCCGACGCGGGAAACTTTCAACACCGAAGGTCTCCGAGTGGATTTTGACGCACTCTTTTCGGTTTCCGTCGACTTTTGGAAGGAAGAGGTAAGTGGTCCCGTACACCGGTTGTGACGAGATATTCGAGTAATCGTTTGCGTCACGTTTGTTTTCAGATCGCTGAAGTGGCGAACTTCTTGAATGAACAATTAGCTGAAGACCTACCGAAAGACATACAGGTTCAAATCGATAAAATCTTCAGCCGTTTAAATACTTATCAAATATACTAACGCACTGAACTGTCCCAGCACTATATTATATACCGTCGACTATTTTTAATACAATATGTTCGTATTAACTTTTTCAAAAGCGATCGTTTTCGTTATTGTACCCGATAATTTTTCCGCAGTGTGATTTGATTTATAACATTGTATAATATGTGAATGTATTTATTTTTATAACTATTATATACGTATTTATTAACTTATCGCTAGTGTACTGTTATTGAAACTTTCAATACCTAAATATGACAACAATATTTATACACCGGTACGCATGTCACGGTTCAACAGCTCTGTTCCGCTATACGATTTTCAGCCACTTACGTACATTCTTAATGTAAAAAAATATTAATACCCGTGAAAATCGTCGTTGCCCACCTAACGCGCAAGGAAACGCGCGTTTTCTCGATCTCCAGATAGGCCGCGGAAATCGGCCAGTAGTCTTGTGCAGCAACGAGTAGCGAGGGAAGGAGATAAAAAAAAAAAAATAAAAAAATATATAGATAAAATAACATTCTCGAATTGAAAACGTCTTTTCTTGGCGGTGGCTTTGACGATCCATAACCCTACATAACAGCACTAACTGTACACGGTGAATACCGACTGATTACCCATACTCGTCGTTACGATAACTAGACCCGGTCGACGTAATACTGTTTGCACGCGCAATACCGCTGCAGATATGTTCGCTGCATTAATACTAATAACAGTAATAATTATAATTTATTATACGATCGTTTGCGAACGTTGTATAAATGTGAGATAGTCGTTAGAGTTACAAATAAGTTATTAAAATGTATACGCGCTAACGGGTGTCGAGCCGATCGTATTATTTTACTGGGAGGGAAAAACGAATTAAACGAAGTGGATCGACGAGAAATTACGGGAATCGGACGACAAGTCGTACGTGCGTCGTACTAATTGACGATACTGCGCTAAAGCGTAGAAAAAAAAACCCGTTAACAATTATGCAATACGCGGTGTAGTAACACGTCGTATTGTAATGTGACCGGTACCGAATGTGTTATCGAGATCATAACCTTCTCTCTGACCGAACTGGTTTACGTTCAAAAACGATTTTTAATTTTAGGTTGGCTGAATCGAAACGAAATGAGAACAATCCGGTTTACATTGATTGTTCAAAATTAAAAAAAAAAAAAAAACATGAACCGGATTCGACTGATATTCAACTACAGAAAATATTGATATAGATATTCGTATTTCGGTGATTTAGAGGTCTATAAAAAAAAAAATAAAATAATTATATTAATAAATATGTGATTGGTATGGTGTTTACGCAGTTTTTAAACCTAAAAATGCATCCGCTGACCGATCAGAAACTGCAGCGATAGTCATCAACGTGAATACGTTACAGTATTGAATAGGTTCCTCGAGAAAACACATATGTAAAAAAAAAACTTAAATCGTCTACTCTACATAAAGTATAAAGCATTATGCAATGATCTTATCGACTACTTAACGCACGCACTACCCGGAATTGGGGCCTGATCGCCATAAGATTTAGGCGGTTCATTAATTTGACCTGCTTAAGTACGTAATTTTGCATCATTGCACACAAATATTGTACAAAGTTCCGAACAGTAACTTTTCGCCGGCCGTTTCGTCTATGGTTCACGTGCGATTTATTATACTGGCGACGCAGAGTCGACAGGCCGATACGTGTCACGTCTACCGTTCGCTCTTTCTCTCTCTCTCACTATATATATATATATATATATATCTTTTCTCTTTCTCGGGATGGTAAAAACGTCCTCCAGGGGGGCGTTAGGTTATGGGATATTCTCCGCCCGTAGATTTTTGTATAAATCGGAAGAAATAAAATCTCAACCTTTTACAAAACGATTTGTGAATGTTAACGGGACGGACGGACGGACACGATGAGATTTAGTGTTCACGATGCACGCTCGAATCGCTTCCGATCTTATTTATTGTTGAGAAAAAAAAATAATAAAAAAGATTATCGAATCGTCCAGTTCTTCAGAAATTATTATTCACTTGGATTGCCGTCATCCCGTACTCGATGTATTTGACATTTTTTTTCACTCGAATCACACCTCGATCAATCCCGAAGGATTTGGATTTTTTCCTTACTCCGAATAGGGTTCGATTAAACCGTATACGAGCCTTCCAAATTTTTAAACGTAACGATTCGTGAATTATTTTACACGTCGATCGCCGTACGCGCTACAATCCGTTTGCGACATATGCGACTATGTGCGCGGTGTACATCAATTTGAACATTGCAGATTACGTCATAATTTATTTATTCGTATTAAATTATTGCCATCGCGAGTGTACAGTTTTTAAATGGTCCAAGGACGTTTATCTCGATAATAATATACGGAATTAATTACAATTTAGGAAAACGATAATGATTTTATGTCATCATCCGCGCAACGAGAGAACGAATCCGTAGCTCTAAATAACTATTGTATTAATTAATGTTTTAATTATATTATACAGAACCCTATTACGTTTCAACTAATTAGTTTATCGATTCCTCTACGATAATGCACGTACAGTGAAAATGATATTTTTCGGTATTCTTGGTTTAAATATAATACATGTGTACATATTATTTAGGTACTCCTATTGTAATTCGTATACGTTAATAATTACAACAATATCGATAATCAAAGTTCAGTTATTAAATCATCGAATAGTGCTGTATCAAATGGTTATATAGGTGTACATTTTTGCCACGTATCTAGACACTAGAATAATTAGATAATTATATACTTATACATCTTACGTAAATCGTGTAATTAGTGTTTTAGAATAATATCTGAATGGTATTTTTTTTTCCTAGTATAATATTATATTTTTCACGAATGATAAAATTAAACATAACTAATTTTATTTTAAAATCAGAAAGAACTTTTAAAATATCAAAAAAATTTATAGCAAAAATGTTTGTATACAATACATAGATACGTGCATCGTAAGCTGCAATACTGTACCGATACGATTTTCAAATTTCATTTATAATTATTACTGAAAAAAACTAATTTTCTATGATTTTATTCACTACTATGCTTGTTATTACTAAATATTTTTTACCTAGCGTACAGATGAATGTAAAAAAATATTGTTAATTTAAATACTTCGGAAGTATATTTGCGAATTATGTTTTTTGTTTAATCATATTTTATTTTTTTGTTTTATTTTACAGAGTTGATACCAAATTAATCTGCGCTGACCTAATCCAACTTACAATATGATAAAAATTATGAAAAATTAAAAAAATTAATATATTTAATTTATTTTGGCACAGAGCTTTTAAATTCACTTTGCATTTAGCGTTGACACAGCAAGGTGAAAAATAAAATGCGAACGCTCTAACGGCCTTGACTATAATATATTGACGTCTAATGCTTGTTTATTACGATATCCGATACGTGCAAATCAATATTCAAGTCTTGAAACTCAGAACATTCGAAACCGCACACCGGCAACGAAACATCGGCCAAAGCTCAACACGATACCGTTATCAATTAGATCACCGGAAAAACGGTCGATTCCTATTAGCCCGGGTCATTAGGCTCATTAGAACGGGAGGGCACTCGTATTGTTTTCAAAGATACACAACGGTACATGATTTATATTTCAACTGAAATGGTGAATAGATAAATCAAGACTTTCACCTGGGTACTCTTGGACTAATCCGCCCGACCGAGGAGTGAGCCGAGACAGTAAGCGTGTGCACGCCCTGACATTTAACATTATATCATTATAACAGATTTAGCGTGTATACCGCTTCGCGAAATCTCCCCTCGTAGTATTTAGCCCTTTAAAACAAATTTATCATTTCTCGTGTACTCACGAACAACAATGCCACGGATAATTTGAACAGGACTAATGTCCCGATATAGGTCGCGCACGAAACGCAATACCATTGCTAGGTAAATAATAATTTACGATTGTTTGCACAAAACTCGATTCTCATATTCATGAACGTATCCATTATATATTCAGCGCGATATGATACTTTAATTGTTAATAATATTATATTATTAAATAACGGATGAGACATCAAGAATTATTATTATTATCTTTTCTCATATATGGAATGTTTAATATTAGTCAGAATATATTCATGAAAAGGTGAAATAGAGTTAGCTATCAAAGAGAGGACGGGTTTAGGTACGTAACGTCACGTTAAGAACAGAGAATAAAATAAATCAAAAATGAGACAACTAGAGTGTGGAAAAGATTTTAGGAGAAACTTGCAAGCTAGCGACACCTTATGTTAAAAGGATCGGCACGATGACTCCACTTCAACTGCCGGGAGAGGGGATTATTATTATTATTATTAACGGCAAAAGCCAATCCCGCGAACTACCAACACGACCATATTTAACTCTATAAACCGTTTTGCACATTGCGTTCGATACGAACGAACTAATAATGCGAGGAAACCACTGGTGAACTTTTGCGGTTTTATAACGCGACAATAGTACAAACTGTTAATGAACACATAGAAGTTTTTGAATATTCACATCTTTCGTGGATAAATTATATATTCATCGCTAAGTGAACTTATTATTTTATTTACTACGACTGTATTACTATTTCGCAATACAGGAAATTTAAAACCCATGCAGACATGCATCAAGCAAAACAATAGTTGTTGCAAAATATAAAACGTACGAACTGTGGATTTTGGCGGAAAAGAGAATCCACGTGTTTTCAATTCATCTAATGGGAAAGCATAAGATGGCGGAAATGGTTTGTGCCCAGGTTCGTCGTACACGTACGAGTGTACATGTTATTATTATTGTAGAACGACAGGTTATTTGCCGACCTCGTGTTCGTGCCGTTTCTGTTGACGTTTTTGAGATGACACCGCGACGCTTCCGATCCGGTCCGCGCAGTGATCGACGGCATAAGACTATAAAGGTGATTGATCGCTGTGAAACAACAGCAATCCGTCATCTATGACAACACCAATAAACATTCGTACAATACGACAAACGTAGCGGTGGCGTTTCGATTAGCCGCCATATTGTATTCTACGCTGTAACGAATCGCCAATATTCGTTTTATTGTTTCAATCGTACGGTTCGCCCGGTTATAATAATAATAA